TTCAATCGCGCCACACTTTCTCCGCACAGAAGACACACAGGTTTTCCAGCTACGCCCATGAACATGTACTTCGACTCCCACCTTGTTTAAGACCCCCGGTTCTCAGTGTCCGCCTTCCGTTTTGCCATTTTTGATGGGTATCTGAAAGCTAATGTCACTGTTATGTGAACGACTGCTAGACTAATAAATATTTAAATAAAGCGGCCGACTGCTTGGCGCGTCACCGTTGCATTGTGGGAAATGTAGTATTGGTGCGTGTAAAAGATCTGCGGGCTCTCGGCTTGCTGCCGCCCGCGGGCCGCTTCTAATAATAAATCAATATCATCCCAGGGGCCACTGAAAACATTGTCGCGGGCCGGTTTTGGCCCACGGGCCGGCACTTTGACATGTGTGCAATAGTGCATAAGTATGGGCATACACTTATTTGACACTTCATATAGTCAGTGTAGAAAGGAAAAAAAGGGAAAGAAATGGAGAAATTTACGATCAGCATTCACGTTCACTTACATCAATTTCTTGGATAATGTCTTTTATTTTGCTTGCTCCGTCTTTCATTTTGATCACTTTTACCCTCTCTTCCAGCATCAGAGCTCTTCTTGTCTTAGCTGCTTGACATCCAAAGGTCCGTTTTGGAGCCATTTTAGCAATGCAACGTCCATGTTCGTCTGAATCGAACAATAACAAATACTTCTTGGACCTGGTGGCTTTTCTTTCCACCATCTCACTGTCTCAAACTCGACCTCCGCTCGATTGCCACCCAAGACAGCGTTGCTCAGCTGATGTCATACAATGAACTTTTAAGCCAGCCACCGGACGGTTCGTAGTCCTCCATGGCCATAGTTAGCTCTCGAAGGCTAAAAACCTTACGCTAACTGGAGCGCTTCTCTCTCATTCGCGCTCCAGTTAGCGTAAGGTTTTTAACCTTCGAGAGCTAACTATGGCCATCGAGGGCTACGAAGCGTCCCGTGGCTGTTTTTAGCATGATAACAAGTAAAGCATTCGAGCAAATGTTCGTTTATTTGAATGTCCGTTGAGCCATAAGCAATTGGTCCCTCTGGGCCAATTGGAGGCCAGGATGATGCTCGGTAAGCCAATGGCAGAGCAGCTATGAGTATGTTGCGTTCAGGAAACTCGCAGCTGTGACCGAAATAAACATCGTTCACTATGTAAACCACTATGGTGGTTGCTGTTGCCGTTTCCGAACGAAGCAGTAGAGGTCGCTGTTGGATCAGACTTCGTTGTAGTGAATTTCTTCGCGAGGCTGGAGCAGAGAAAATGATTTCGTATAACGCAACAGGGTTTTTTTTCGTCATATGCGGGGCAGGAGAATGGAAATGGTGTTAATGCATGAAGATTTTTTTCACATTAGGGGGTATTTTCGCCCATGTAGGTTTCGTTCTAGAGGAGTTTCACTGTAC